ACAGGGCAGTACTGTAACGCAAAGCTTCTTAAACTGATGCTTGCCACTCCATATGGACTACCCTCAATAAATATGAGGGTGGGGGAAAACTGGGCAACAGCACAAGGTTTCTGAATCCCCAAAATTAACCTGAAATCAAACGCATGCCAAACTTAAGGTATTTCTGAAGAGGACCTGGGTGGCATCCCATGACTTTGGCTCGTTGTGGACAGGAAAAAGCACACTGTGCACTGCCCATGCCCTCAGAGCATAGAACACTGGTGATCACTGCCTGGGACACCGAGGCTCAGAGTTAAGAACACTGCATGTTATAAATGCAATGGTTTTACTATACACAGTTTTCTGCACATAGACAAAGGTTTGTTTATCGTAAACACTTAAGATTTCCCTACTTCTAGCCTCCATATGCATGAACACACTTACATGCAACCCCACTCCCCCCACACACGTTGTCAGCATATAGCAAACCAGTATGTCTCAACACTATTAGATTGGAATGTTCGATTTTTTTTGGCGGGGGGGCAGGTCTTTTTGAGACAGGGTCTCTCTGTAGTCCCAGCTGGCCTGGAACTCACTATGTAGACCAGGCTGACCTCAAACTCACAGAAATCCACCTGCCTCTGCCTCCCGAGTGCTGGAACTAAAGATGTGCGCCACCACGCCTGCCTAGAATGTTTGATTTTTAAAACTGCTGAATTCCTGACTTGAGTTCCCTTAAAAAAAAATTTCATTAGCCGGGCGCATGCCTTTAATCTCAGCACTTGGGAAGCACAGGCAGGCAGATCTTTGTGAGTTCTAGGCCAGCCTGGTCTACATAGCGAGCTCCAGGCCAGCTGGGGCTACAGGGAGACCCTGTCTCAAAAAGACCAAAAAAAAAAAAAAGGAAAATTCATTAAACAAACCGGCTTTGGATTAAGGCAGAATTTTTCAGCAATTTCTGAAATGCCTCTCAACATACTTCTGACATTTGCACATATTTATGTCAAGTGGTATTTCAGCATTAGTGATTATAAAATGAACAGAATAGTGCCAGGCATAGCAACACGCCTGTAATCCCAGAGCTCAGGAGATGGAAGCAAGAGGACTGCTGTAAGTTTAAGGCCAGTTAAGTCTATGCAGCTCCAGCATGGCTACAGGGAGAGTCCGTCCCAACATACTCAAGTACAAGGCTGGAGACAGCTCAGAGCTCAGAGCACTGGCTGCTCTTTCAGAGGAACTAGGTTCTGTTCCCAAGCACCCACAAGGCACTAAACTGTAACTCCAGTTCCAGAGTATCTCATTCCCTTTTCTGACATCCAGGGGCATTGCACACACATGGTACACATGTATATGCAAGCAAAACTCTCATACACATAAAGTAAAAAATAAAAAGAAATTTTTTAAAAATTCTTGAGTGAAAAGAGGTCAAAGAGCAGGACAAGTTTAAGAGGACCTGATGAAGCAAACACTTTTTATATGGTGCCGCAAGACTTGGACACATCCAAAACACTTTAGTTTCTTTCAAAACAAAAACACTTAAAAATTCCGCCCAGGAGAGAATTCAGTCAGTAAACTGCTTGCAACATAAGCATGAGGCTCTAATTATGATCTGCAGAACCCACAAGAAAAGCTGGGTGTGATGGTTGGGAGATGGAGACAGCCCAACCTGATGAGTGAGCTCCAAGTCACTGAGAGACCCCATCTCAAAGGGGGGACAGAGTTCCTAGGAATAACACCTTTAGCTGTCCTCTGGCCAACACATACACACGCATGCACACACGCACGCACGCACTCACTCATTAAAAAAATTTAAAGGGGCTGGAGAGATGGCTCAGCAGTTAAGAACACTGTTTGTTCATGCAGAAGACCCAGGTTTGAATTCCAGCACCCACATGGCAGCTAACAACTGTCCATAACTCCAGTCCCAGGGGATCCGACAGCCTCTTCTGACCTCCAAGGGCATTGCACGACATGGGTGCACTAACCTACATGCAGGCCCATACACGCATACACATAAAAAAAATTAAACATTTTTTAAATTTAAATGAAAAAACAAAAAAATCTCCTACCTACAGTGGGGGCCACATCTGTAATGCCAACACTCTCTATAAGGCATAAAGATTGAGAGTTTGAAGATCAGCCTGAAGTACTTAGTCTGAGGCTTAGCTTGGGCTACAACCTTACAAACTCCCAATAATACACTAAAGCACCAGATTTTAAAGAAATGTAACCATGGGGCTGGACAGATGGCTCAGCAGTTAAGAGCACGTACTGCTCCTACATGGACCTGAGTTCGGTTCCCAGCATCCACGTCAAGCATCCACCTCCACAGGAGTCTAACACCTCTGGCCTTGAAGGGTTCCTGCACTCACACGCACATACCTGCACACAAACACACTTACACATAATCAAAAATAACAAAAATAGGACTGGAGAGATGTCTCCGAAGAGCACTGGTTGCTCTTGCAGAGGACCTAGGTTCAGTTCCCAACACCTGAATGGTGGCTAACAAACCCCAGGGGATCCAACACCCTCTGTGGGCACTGCATGACACAGATGAACTTACATAAATGCAAGTAAAACACTCATAAAAAAATACAAAATAAAATGAAAACACAAAATAAAATCAATAAAATTCTAAAATAAACTTCTTAAAGACTCAGTTTCTTAAAAAGAAAAGGAAATGTAACCCTGAATAAGTTTAAGTAAATCTAATATGGTAACTCTCCAACTTTCTACATTTATCTGAATTTGGAACTCAACATATGCTAGGTTTTCACTTTCTTATTATAAGTGTGGTTACTCTGAAATTAGACCACTTTCAGGCATACTTACAAAAATACACTACCCCAGCTGGGTGTGGTGACGCATGCCTTTAATCCCAGCACTTGGGAGGCAGAGGCAGGCAGATCTCTGTGAGTTCAAGGCCAGCCTGGTCTACATAGCAAGTTCCAGGTCAGCTGGGGCTACAGGGAGACCCTGTCTCAAAAAGACCAAAAAAAAAAACCAAAAAACAAAACAAAAAAAAATACACTACCCCAAGCTTCACAACTGCTACACTGCTTATCAAAGGCATGGATATTCTTTTTCACTTATTTTCAGTAGAGAATAATCTAAATTTGTATTGTGAAAAATTTATATGTAACTGGCAAGATTGCTTGGTGGGTAAAGCCTTGCCTGGAGCCGGAGCCTGAAGTTGGAACCCACATAAAGGCGGAAAGAGAGAAGACTGTAAGTTGTCCTGACCTCCACACGTGTGCTTGCACACATGCACAGGAGCATAAACACAATAATAAACTATAGTCAGTTTACATAAAAACTTTGTTAAACATTAAGATTCTCTAAAATAGTCAAGTGAAGTGGGAGTAATATTTGGGAGCCCTAAAAACACACACGGACACCTTAATACCCCACAGCCCACCTCACTTACATACCCCACCACATACAGCACAAAGTTTTCAATCTCCTTTGGGGGGAAAAGAGATGTTTCTACAATTTTCTCCCACAGGAGTATCTCCAAACCCTATTTCCTAAGCATTCTAGCAGGAGACAGAAATATCTCAAGGTCACTATTTGCTTCACATGATTAAGTAATTGAAACAACTATGCTAGGTGCATCAACCAGGAAAATCCCCACTAGAGTCCACCAGTGATGGAAGCTGGCGCCAGTCCTTCCCGGCAGACTGGAAAGCCCTTCTGGGAGGGCAGTGGGATGCTTGTCTTAGAGTTGCTGAGGAAACAGAATGCAACCACAGCCACGGCATGTAGTGAGGGCATATGTGGCTAGACACTCCCCTTCCGCCCCACTACCATTGGCAAGGAAGAAAATCATCCCAGTTCATGCTATCTTTCATCTGGAAACTGCAATAAAGCCTTTGGGGGGAAAAAAATCTTTCTGCCTTAGACAGAAAGAAAAATGAGACTACTGAATGAGACTGTTCAATCAAAGTTCTCAAGAGTAGGTTTTCCAAACCACTAAATCACAGGACCTGGCTTACAGACTTTTCTTCATTTTCAATAAAGGCTTCAATATCCTGACTTAACAGTGTAATCTTTGCAAGAAAAATCCAGTCTCAATCAAAGGCTACAGACTCAAACGAGGGGAGGGTGTCCTAGTTAACCCTGGGGCAGGGGCGGGGACAATTCTGACAAACTCTCCTTTGATCCTAAACTCCTCCTCCCAGGCCCCTCGCAGGCCAACCACCCAATAAGTACTCCGCCTCGCCACCAAAAACCAGAACCTCTCAGACCTCAGAGATGCAGAACCCCAAAAGTCCCCTCCCGCCTGCAACAGTCAATCAGCTTGGTCCAAGCACTGGCCACTACGCCTGATCACCTCAGTCTTCTTTTTTAGGGGGACAGGATCTCACTATGTAGACCAGGCTGGCCTCGAACTCACTGAGACCGGCCTGCCTGTCTGAAATGCTGGGAATTTAAGGCTTGCACCACCACTCCGGGCCCACCAACACAATCTTTATCGTTGACATCACCTGTTGGGGGGCGGGGGGTGGTCCTCGTCTTTGTCCCCAGACCTCAACTCAGGGCCCCCCTGTTCTGGCCATCACTTCACCTCCACCCCATCCTTGGGCCTCCAGAACCCCCCCCCCCATTCTAACCCGGGCTGGGCCCCCCGTTCGGGCCCCGCCCCCCGCCGCCACTCCCCCGTCCCCGCCCTTCCAGCAGGGCCTGCACCGCACTGCACCATCCGGCTTTCCAGGCCCGGGGACAGCCCACGGTCCGCGGCCCATGCCGCCCATGCCCCGCTGCGGCCGCGGCGACTGGCCGGGTGGGAGCCGTCGTGCGCTACGGACCTCGGCGGTG